TGAGATATCAAAAAAGTACTCCAGAGTGTTGTTCAGCATGGGGGTGAGTAGAAAATGAAGGCTAATCATGTTTTGGGTGTACTATTCCTTTAAGAGTGGGGCGAAACTAACAAACTTTTTCAAAATAAGTTTATTAAATAGAAAATCAGATTGGACTTTGCTTTGAAACGAATTTTTTCTGTGATCATTAAATTTCAAGCCTTGGTTTGATTCTTTGTTGTTTTATAAGGTTGTTTTTTTTTGGGACTTTCATCTTAATTCGAGAGTTTTCTGTGTTTTACATGCAGCAAGAAGTTATGGCAGAAGACGAGGTAAAGCTAATGAGTCTTATTTCTCGCAATTATGCTGTTTTCCTCCTTTTGTCTAAAGCATTCAGTTTGCTTTATTCCCTGTTCAAAATGTCACTGAGCTTTTTGTTTGCCTTGTACTGACTTCCTGCCCAGAATTCATGCAGTTTAATAAAAGCTGAATCATTAATTTTTTGGCCCGATCAATCGTAGGAATAATTTAAATAGAAATCATGGGTTCAAACTGATCTAGTCTGCTCCTGTTTTTAGTCTTTGCTTTTTTGTTTTTCCCCCTTTAGTATTCTTAAAATGTTATGAATTCTGCTTAAGTTTAGTTGTCCGGTCGCTATTTTGATCCAGATGTTTCTCTGTCAGGCCATTCGTCTCTGTTCCCCATGGAGGATGAGCGCTCCTTTGGAGAGGATGAGTCCGGTGACCAGGGCCTCGCCGGCCTCGGCTCTGCCCACTGTTTCCCACACCTGAATGGCGAACGCGTCGAGCGTTATTCCCGCAAGGTGTTTGTCGGAGGGTTACCCCCAGATATAGATGAAGGTGAGAATATATTGAAATGATAAAGTCTGTTTATTATTTTGAAAGGACTTCAATGATCGCTGCAGCTTTTTGGGTTAAATTAATTTAAAACCAAACAAAGTGCCAAAGGCTTCGCTAACCTTGAGTTTAATTTTCTCAGATGAAATCACTGCCAGTTTCCGCCGATTCGGCCATCTCTTTGTAGATTGGCCCCACAAGGCAGAGAGCAAGTCTTACTTTCCACCAAAAGGTGAGTCCGATGTGCACAGCATCCCTTTAATTGAATACAAACAACAGCATATGTTGTGCTTTTTTTAATAGATGTGGGTGTCTGGTTTTGTTTCTCAGGGTATGCATTCCTGCTGTTTCAAGATGAGAGCTCTGTCCAGGCATTGATTGATGCTTGCATTCAGGAGGACGGCAAACTCTACCTGTGTGTCTCCAGTCCCACCATTAAAGACAAACCTGTGAGTGTTTTACTGCCTTCTGCTCCAATTGGAGGGATAAACACACTTAAACAAGACTTAAAGCAAATTATTTGGCTTCATTTAACCTTTAAGAAATCTCCTCTTATAATTGTGTCCATGTGCTGAAAAATGCACGCGCCTCATTCCAAAAAATTAAAAAAAAACAACAATCCACTGAACTTTGTTTCCAAGTTTGAAGATGGCTTCCTGTGAGGGACCAAACTTAAATAAGGGCTAGGGATGCACGATATAATCGGCCCCCTATCGGTATCGGCCTTAAAACTGAATATCGGACATCGGCCACCCCACCGATATTTAACCCGATTTTTG